TCATGAGCCCGACCGTTTGTTGGTTGTTTTTTGGAATGATGTGGTTGCTTCTTTTTTTTGAAAACTTGGCTGTGTATTTTTACCGTCTTACAGCCACTATGTGGCTCAGGAGCCTGCGGGTTGGATACTCCGTTACAGAAGCTTGGAGTCGATTCTTTTTTTCAGGCAGTCACAGGCTGCCTTACCTAGTTGTTCAGTCTTTCATTGTGGGTGTTTGTGTGCAGGAACTGCGCTGTTGTGAGGAACTCTCTTTGTTGTTTCAGAATTCAGGAATCACGTGTTCATCGTTGTTCGAGTTCTGGTGAGTTCCAATGTTCAGGTGCTGAGCTTACCATCAGCAAGGTTTTCCGCGTTCTGGAAATCCATTCTTTGTGTTTGGTGTCATGAGGCTGCTTGGCTAGGCACGGGCTGGGCTGGAGAACGGACCAGCACTGGAGATTGGAGAGGCGGGCGCGCTGCCTGCGCACAGTGGTTTGGGCAGCCGTTGGCCGTTCTTGGCTCACTACGCCGTTGTGTTGTTGGCGCGTCGCGCGGTCAGAGCGAAAAAAATATCGGCGTGTCCACGTGCAAATGATACTGTCTTGGGGGCGCACGCCTCAGATTTCAGCAGTGCTTTACGGGGGACCCTGTACGACGTGTTTCGGCCTGGGTGCTTGCCAGGCAGAGAAGACACAGGAGGAGCTGCAGGCCATTTGGTTGTGTATTTCTGCCTTCTTACAGCCACCGTGTTGCTCAGGAGCCTGCGGATACTCCGTTACAGAAACTTGGAGTCGATTCTTTTTTCCCGAGAGCATGGCGAAGGGTTCTTCCGCTGGGTTCACTTGAGTTGTTCTCATGAGAGTCATTACAAGGTGTCATTGCAAGGAATCATCATCATGAAAGTCATTGCAAGGAGTCATTGCAAGGAGTCATTGCAAGGAGTCATTGCAAGGAGTCATGGCAAGGAGTCATTGCAAGGAGTCATTGGCAAGGAGTCATTGCAAGGAGTCATTGCAAGGAGTCATTGCAAGGAGTCATTGCAAGGAGTCATTGCAAGGAGTCATTGCAAGGAGTCATTGCAAGGAGTCATTGCAAGGAGTCATTGCAAGGAGTCATTGCAAGGAGTCATTGCAAGGCAAGGAGTCATTGCAAGGAGTCATTGCAAGGAGTCATTGCAAGGAGTCATTGCAAGGAGTCATTGCAAGGAGTCATGGCAAGGATTGCAACTTGCACTTGACTCCTTGCACTTGCAACTTGCACTTGACTCCTTGACTTGCACTTGCAACTTGCACTTGACTCCATGCACTTGGCTCCTTGCACTTGGCTCCTTGCACTTGGCCCCTTGCACTTGCAACTTGCACTTAACTCCGTGCACTTGCGACTTGCACTTGACTCCATGCACTTGGCTCCTTGCAACTTGCAATGGCTCTCATGACTCCTTGCAATGACTCCTTGCAATGACTCCTTGCAATGACTCCTTGCAATGACTCCTTGCAATGACTGCCAATGACTTGCCATGACTCCTTGCAATGACTCTTGCAATGACTCCTTGCAATGACTCCTTGCAATGACTCCTTGAAACAAGCAAGGAGTCAAGTGCAAGTTGCAAGTGCAAGGAGTCAAGTGCAATTGACTTGCGAGGAGTTAAAATCTCTTCTTAGGGCGGCGGGGTAGTGCCGACGACACTACACGAAAATCGACCCTCTGCGGGGATCGGCGTGGTCGAGGTGCAAAAACTCGAGGTTTTTTGCGATGTTTAACCTGCTCGCGCGACCCTCTGCGGGGATCGGCGTGGTCGAGGTGCAAAAACCCATGGTTTTTTTTGCGATTTCTGCGGTGCTCGCGCAACCCTCTGCGGGGATCGGCGTGGTCGAGGTGCAAAAACTCGAGGTTTTTTGCGATTTCTAAAGTTCCCGCGCGACCCTCTGCGGGAATCGGCGTGGTCGAGGTGCAAAAACCCATGGTTTTTTGCGATGTTTAACCTGCTCGCGCGACCCTCTGCGGGAATCGGCGTGGTCGAGGTGCAAAAACCCATGGTTTTTTGCGATGTTTAACCTGCTCGCGCGACCCTCTGCGGGGATCGGCGTGGTCGAGGTGCAAAAACCGAGGTTTTTTGCGATCGCTTCTGCGGGGATCGGCGTGGTCGAGGTGCAAAAACCCATTTTTTTTGCGATTTCTGCGGTGCTCGCGCAACCCTCTGCGGGGATCGGCGTGGTCGAGGTGCAAAAACTCGAGGTTTTTTGCGACTTTTGTTGTTCGAACTGGTCCTCGGGAGTTGTCTCGTGGTTCGCGCGCCTGCTCCCGGAACCGGCGGGTCGCGGGTTCGATTCCTCCCTGGTCCGCGGGCGGGCGTCGCAAGATGCAACTTGCATTTTAAAGCAACTTGCGCAGAGCAACTTGCGCAGAGCAAGTTGCACAGAGCAACTTGCGCAGACCAACTTGCACCGACCAGTTTGCGCAGAGCGCCTTGCCTAGAGCAACTTGCGCAGAGCAACTTACGCAGAGCAACTTGCACAGAGCAACTTGCACAGAGCAGCTTGCACAGAGCAACTTGCAGGGAGCGCAATTTGCACAGAGCAACTTGCAGGGAGCCACTTGCAGGGACCAACTTGCCGGAGCAACTTGCGCGGAGCAACTTGCGCAGAGCAACTTGCACAGTGCAACTTGCGTAGAGCAACTTGCGCAGACCAACTTGCACCGACCAGTTTGCGCAGAGCACCTCCTGGTGCTGTCTCGCGCTTGCTTCACAAATGCTTCGTGTAGGGAAAAAGAACGCATCCTGCAGCGTTGGGCCGACCTCGCTTGCGATGTTCTGCTTTCGGGCCAACCGTGGTCTAGTTTTTCAGGCAGTCACGGGCTGCCTTACCTAGTTGTTCAGTCTTTCATTCTGCGTGTCTGTGTGCAGGAACTGCGCCGTTGTGAGAAACTGTGTTTGTTGCTTCAGTAGTCAGGAATCAGGCGTTAATCGTTGCTCGAGTCCATGTCGGGCGTCTCGTTTTTTGTTTTGAAATCACACCTGGGGTCCAGTTTTTTGTTTTGCACGCCTGGGGGTCCGGTGCTTGTATTTGTTGCATTCATGCCTGCGGGCCGGGGTGCTATTGCTTTGGAACTCACGCCTGGAGATCCTAAAGGCTTCCTTTTTTACATCACGCCTGGGCGTGATTTCAAAAAACCAAACACCGGAGCCCCCAATGCGTGACTTCAAAAGAAAGAACACCAGGGCCCAGAGGCGTGATTCCAAAAAGAAAGCGGAGCCCTAAGGTGTGAGTGAATTCAAAAGAAAAAGTCACCCCGGCCCACAGGCATGAGTGCAACGAAAAATAAGCACCGGTCCCCCCAGGCGTGATTTCAATTTCATTAAACAAAAAACACCTGGACCCCGCCAGGTGTGACTTGAAAAAAAAACGGGCTCCCCCCGGCATGATTTCAAAATATGCGATTGCAAAAAAGCAACACCGGAGCCAGAACAGGACAAAGGTAAGAAGGTCTAATGAAAACTGAGTTTTAAGTTAGGTAAGGCTTATGCCTGTTGAACCTAGACCTGCAATGAAGAGGTGTCGGGACTCAAGAATTGCGCATGCCGCCCTAGCTCTCCAAAGGAGAGAAAGCCAATCTGAGAGGAGCTGTGAGAGCTCAGGTAGTTGATCCCAAAGCAGCTTAGAAAAGTAACTCATGCGTTTTCTCGCATGAGGCGGGCTCCCGTGAACCCATATGTCCCGAAAGGTCAAGTACTTTCTGGCCGAGCCAAAGCGTTTTGAACACCTCAAGTTGGCTGCAAAGATTGTTTGGCACAGCTGCAAGAAGCTTTGGATGAGTACAGGCAAGCCCTCTTTGGCAGGAGCCCGCAGAACATCAGCTTGAATGAGTTTGCTGCAGGTTGGTGATCGCGCTGGGGTTGGCGCCCATTGCTCATCCCAGTGTCCCAGTCCCAGCAGCCCCAGTCCCAGAGGAGAATGGTAAGCTGTGTCAGCGGCGTGCAACGAATAATGCAGGCAGGTATGGCGCTGGGTACAGTGAAGCTGTTGTTGCCTGCCTTGAAAGAATTCAATTAGGTGGCAAAACATTCATGCCAGCCTTTGAAATCGACGGTGCAGAAGGAAGGTGCAGGGTCCAAGCCCATGCGAAACGATAGCGCAGAACACGCATGGCCCACATTTTGCAAAGCGAAAGACACTGATTTGCCTGTGATGCCCCATTGCTGGGGCAATTGGCCTTCTGATTTGTCTAAGACTTTCGGCTCTCGTTAGATGAGGCTGTGTTTACTCCAACTTCAGTTCATTCTTTATGTAACCCTGGTAGGACTACTTCCAGAGGGTCAGAGCCCAACCGTTTGGCTGCTTAACGGGGCAAAAGGCAACCAACCAATCCGGGCACAGTGAGCTTGGTAGCGGTTAGTGTGAGTTTCGCATGTTCGGGGAACTCCCCCCAAAAGGTTCTTGGGAGACCAGAAGCAATCCAATCATTTTGGGAATCGTGTTTCTTTTCCCAATATCCGAATATTTAAATTTGGATGATGGCATTGCCCTAGAATGGTACAAGAGCGGAAAAGCGGAACCCACAGATGGTAGACTTGTTGTCTAGCAAATTTGGGAGCTCCATTTTGGACAGTTGTCAAAAAACTAGTAGAAAAGTCCCTAGTTTTAGATGGCGGAAGTTCTACCCTTTAGGTTTTTTAGGCAGCTCACAGGGAATCAGGTAAACCCTTTCCTGGGGTGACAAAAGGATTTTCCCCCATGGAAATTGGCACTGATTGGGATGGCTTGGCATCCATGATGAACTGCCCGGGTTTGCTTTTTGCCGAATGCAACATACCCCGCACTGCTCGAGGACTGTATTTGCAGATGAGTCCACAGAGTTCAGTGAATTCGGAATCGCAAAACGTTTCACAGTGCGAAGCTGGGTTTCAGGTCCACCTTTATGGTCCACATTGGTATCACGGGGTACTTTCGTCCATAATATTATCCATCCCTCAGTTGCCTCCACCTTGAAGTGTTCCCACAACATGCCCATTCGGATCACAGGAGCTGGGCTTGGCCCCTGCCGGCGAGGATGGCACCTATTTCCAGGCTCGCCCCCCACATTCACCGGCGAATACACAATGTTGACCCCATGTTGACCAACCCTGTTCCCCTCCAAAAGTGGTGATTCCCCACTAACCGTGTGGTTTTTCTCCTGGAACCCACCGAAAACCTGATGCAGATTCCGCTGGAATTTTCAGCACAGCTTCCAGAGGTGGCAGGTACCAGCGCGGATGATTATGTTTTGTGTCAATGCCCGCGACGGGACCAAAGCTGTCATCACAAGCGGTGGTTCCAGCTACCCTTTACAGACATTCGAAGACTACTGGGACTCTCATCAGCCGGTGAAACGGTGAAACGCATCATTGCCTGCGAAGCAGCGGAGCAGTGAGGAAATCTGGGCGGGCTCCTGACTGAGAGGTCCTAGAAGACAAATTTTCACTAAAAAGGCCTCTCTGCAGTGGGTTCTATGCTAACCTCGTCGTATTGGCATAGCTTCATCTAACTCTACCGTCACACAAGAATAAGACGAGGCGAGAAGCTGACAGTCCTATTGGATGAAACACGATGCGGTCAGGTTGCTTGAAATACTTACGCAAGAGTCGGCCTGGCTCTAACCATTTTTCGAATCGTTTTGATGCGTTCGAACAGGACAGCTAGGTGTTGGGAGTGTGCCGGCGCTTGAGACATGTCTTTAGAGCCGTGGTGAGCCGTGTATCCATGGGTGAATTAATGGCACCCTGGAGCGCTTTTGTTAGGCGGATGTTCATTTGGGACGCTGCAGGGTCAGAGGCTGTTTGCTCGATTTGCCTTTCCACGTGCCTTGACTCAGACCTGGTGACATGGCAGGAGCGACATGAGATCGGCTTCAAGTCGCTGAATATTGCAGGGATCCCGCATTTCTACCGGTTTCATCATTCTATTTCACCCAGAAGATTGACAAGCAGAATCATCGGATACCTGAGGTGGACTTAGGATACGATTTACATTTTACCAGTGACTCAAAGTGAAGCAAACAAGCGAACAATAAAATATAGGTTCAATAACTGGGCCTAACTTTAATCATGATACGGTGTGCAGCTGGCAAACAGGTGCTCAAGAACTAGGTCCCCCAGTAGTGGTGCCCTTTTACATTTTTTGTGGGGAGGGTTCCCCAACTAAAATCGACTACAGAAAGAAGGGTACCTTAATTCTAACCTCTCTACTGGAGGACCTAGAGAATGATTCTGATTTTCTTTCTTGTTTGAGCCAAATGCGGGTGTGACTGTCCATGGACGCCGCCGCACGCCGCTTGCCAGCTTTCTGTTGGTTGGACTGCTTATGGCGATGCATCCTTCTGTTCATTGGAACCGCCACTGGCTAGTTTGGCCGAAACAGCTTTCTGCCAGCTTTGTCTTTTTTCGGGGACCCCCCAAAATGGTGGTTGTCCTTTGCTTTCCCTTTGACATCACCAAAAGAAGCAACCATCAACCCATAATTTTTTGGGGCTTAGACATGCTTTGGACTCTCTTCCAACTGGTGGATACTTCCATTAACGTGGGGGATTCCCGCAGGCAAACAAACATGTTTTCCACGACATGGCCCCAAGACACAGCTGCGTAGGGTTTGGTGGGATTCCCTCAAAGGGAACCACGTTGCGCATTGCTCAGTTCGGGGTCAACTAATTGCCTGAGAAACAGAAAGTTCGTACATGTTTGCACCCTTAGGTTGAAAAGGGACACCAAAAGAAACCCCACCATTTTGGGGGAGCCTTTTGACACATGGGTCTGGCTTTTGTGAGGGTACTGTTGTTTTGCGAAACCAACAGGAACACCGTTGCGCCATTTTTTGTGGGGTCCAAACCCGAAAAAGGACGAGCCACCTACATTTTCTTGGCTTCAACCAGTCGACCTGGGCCCCGTTTTGAGACTTCAGATTTCAGGCAGTGAAGATGGTGGGGCTGACGGCGCAGCAAGAGGCCTCCAAACTGGCCTTCCGGGTGAAGGACTTTCAAATCACCGGGAAGTTCGGGGATGACTTCGTGCACTCCATGGACCATGTGGAAGGCTCGCGCGAGCGAGCCGCAAGTCTACTCCAACTGAAAATCAGACCTATCGATACCTATCGCAGGGGTGTCTCCAAATTTGGGGAACCCGGTGAAAGACCCCATCACAAGCCGTGTGGCTCCCAGACCTTCCAGTGATGCCTTGAAAGGTTTTGCAACTTTGGCAGGTTCTCAACTGGGGTGGACTTAGGACACATCTTACATTTTACCAGTGACTCAAAGTGAAGCAAACAATAAAATATACATTCTATACCTGGGCCTAACTCTGATCATGTCAACTTCAGTCTTTTCAACTGCCAACGTTCCTTCCAGAAACGGGTCACCCCTTTAAGTTCACCGACCAGGCCCCAGGGTACCCTGGGGCCCTTGTTGCCCATGGCCACTGGATGTTTGGCAACGAGTTCAGCGCCCCAGAGGCCATGATGGTTCTACTTATTGGCTTCACAGCGACCTACAGAAAACGAGGACTTGTTCTTCTGTTATTCCTGCGCAACTCTTGGCGGGCTCGGGCGGGGCGATCTCCAAAAGTTGTGAACATTGGCTACTTGGCGCGCTCCCCACACGACTCTTTGATCCGGTTTGTGAGCTACCCTAGGTCCCCCAGTAGTGTCCTTCTCTCCTCTTTTTCGGGGGAGGGTTCCCCTACTAAAATTGACTACAGAGAAAAAAGTCGGGTACCAACTTTTTCTAAGCTCTCTACTGAATAAACCTACTATGGATGGACAAAATCCATTTCGAACGGGGAAGCATTGCTTGTTGGTATTTACACCCAAGGTTTCTGATCGCAACCATCCAAGAAACCTGCACCACCTAAGAAACCCTGGAAGGATGATTCCCTGTAAATACCAACAAACAATGGGTTTCTCTCGTTTCAAAGTGGTGGCAGGATTCTGTCCATCCACAGTAGTACCGCATGGCATCATCCCTTTTTGGCCGCAGAGGCGCACCTCCCAGCTGCCTGCTGGAGAGCCTGGACCTGGTCTTCGTGGGCCACGGCGTGCATTCGCCGGCCGGCCTTGGCTGGGACGACTTCAAGGGACACTGGGCTGGAGGGTTCCCGTGTTCCTCTTAAGTCTAGAGGCTGATTCCAACCATTCTTTTCAAACATCGTTCTCTTCAGAAACCGGCGGTTTCCCCCGGGCTTTTGATGGTTTCCTGAAAAGAAGGATCCCTGGAAAGAATGGGGAAGGTACCCCTAGTTTGGCGGTCTCCTCCAAAACTCGCTCAGATTTTAGGAGAAGCCGAATATGAGACAGAAACTGGCATGTCAAGTTGGAGTGGTGTTCAAAGTTTGGCAACTCAACTGATACCTTGCCTACAACACTCATGGAAGCAGGCAGGAGTCCTGACAAGTGTCTGGTTGTTTCAACTCATCTTGCGCATGGGGTCGGGAAATTTTATGGTTGTGACAAATCACCTTTTCTGTGACACAGAATGTGGCCATTCCCAACTTTATCACTTTGAAGGGGATTCCCTTGGTATCACAGAAAGTGGCCACAATCATCTCATACATATTCCATGGTTGTCAAGGCCCCCCAAAGAGCGAACCCACAAAAAGGCAGCCAAAAGGACCCATATTGGGATTGGGGGAGCCCTGTTCTTGGCCCACATCTGGGGCTGTCTTTTGGCAACTGTCTTCATCGTTTTGCTTCTGGCCGGCCGACTCTGCTGGTCAGATCCCGACTCCCCAAATTAGCATGGATCCCAACGCATGTTTCTTTGAGGTCTGTCCTTTGGGGGGGACCCTTTCTTGGGTTCCATGCCAGTTAACCCTTTCTTGGGTTCCACGTCAATGTTAAGTGAACAACTGTATTCATTCAACCATGTGTTTTTGATTTGGTCCACGTTGAGTCAATGTTCCAAAAGGGTTCTGAAACTTACTTCCAAAATCCGATTTGTTTTGAGCTTGTTTGGGCAGGTCTGAAAATGATGCTTCAAACTGCACCAACAAATGCAAGCGCCTTTTTTTCCCGGGGGGCCTAAGGACGAGGCAGGTATCTCCCGACATTGGGCTCCTGTTGTTCCCTGCAAAGGAAGCCAGGGGTTTGTGTTGGGTTTTTAAGTCCCCCGTGTTTGTTATCCTGGAGGTGTTCGACGAAACAGGAGGTGTTTTCCCCATGTTTTTTCCCCACTCGGGTCTGGGCGTTACATAGGCCTGGAAACTGCTACATGTCCCCTGTAGTCAGGATGTTCGAAGTTTAAGCCTTCAGAAATCTGTGAACTCAGGACCCCAAGCAAGAGACTCTCGCGTTGGGTATACCACCTCTCGGATTTTACTGCAACTGGATTGCAAATTCTTCAGTCTTCCCAGACACGCGAAACCTAGGAGAGTCCGTGGCGGGCAAAGTGCTGCTGGTGCTGATTAGCCAGCCGCCGGTGGAGCCCTTTCCCAAGGAGGACATGCGGCTCGCCGGTGACAACCGGAGGTCTGTCTCAAGAGGCGCCCCGTTTTTGTTTTTGCGAAGTTGGACAGGGAACTCGGAAGGAAGCCAACCACCCACTGTGCCCTAAATTGAGAAACACCCAGCTGGAGAATCGTCCATTTGTTTATGTTTTGTGTTTTGCAGTTGTGACCACTTTTATTCTTTTACCCTCGCAGCCAATGCGGAGCCAAGACGAACGGAGGTCCCAAGATCATTTTCCCAGCTTCTGGTGGTTTCCAGGCAAGTGGGCGGGAGAGCAGTCACGTTCCGGGGCCCCAACAACCCAATCGGCGGCCTACTTTCATGGAGGCTTATAGCAAGACATATAAACCTTTGTAGTCGCCCATCTTAGTAGAACCATGCATGAATTGGGTTTGGGGGCGCAGTGAGGACCTACTATGGTAGGTGGACCTACAAGTTTGAGGAGGCAAGGAGAAGAGGGGCAGCAGGCGGGGAATGGGCCCTACCTCCAGTGTTGCCTTGCTTTCGGAGTTTCCAAAACTACCACAAAGGCGCAGTTTCTCCAAGATGATTGGGATGCCCTAATAAGTTCCATATGTTGGCACAATTAGAACAGGCAATCATTCAATCCTAAAGGATGTGACATGATGGTCTCTCCTACTTTACTGGTGTAAATGGATTTACTGGGTTTGCTTGCATTGAATCACCATGCAAGAAGGTTTTCCTCCCTGAGTCAGGTTCTCGAAGACTCCAAGTATATCTAATAATATGTGCGGATTGGAGAGGCTGTAAGTGACAATCCCCCAAGCAAACCAGATCCGAATTGGAAAGGACAAAGCCCCACTGGGATAAACCTCCAAACTGGTGACTGGATTGTCCATCCGAACTTATGGATTGGACGCATTGGGATCTGAATCCTTGACAGCTTTGACAGGAATAAGATTGGCGTCCGCAGACGGGTCTTCAACAGTCGGCAATTCCTTTCAAAGGTACATTTGTAGTATTTGCGGCAGCCCAAATGGAAATTCCTAGAACCATCCAACCTTTGGGGGGTACTGCCGTGGAATCTGTTTGGAGAGCCTTTTAAGACAAATCAGTTGTCTTGTGGCCGTTGAGGATGTGACAGAATTAGGAAGCTTAACACCAACTATATTTTTTCTGTCTGGCCTCGCCATTCGGCGAGGGCCACTTGCCAACATCGAGCAACACCATCCTTGACAAGCTGGCTGATCGCAGGAACAAAGTCCTGAAATATGCTAAACTATGTGCATGAAGGATCCACTACGCGTTTCTGGTCGCAAGCATCGTATTTTATTTCTTGAATCTGTCGGCGATTCCGAGGGTTGGGTTTACGTGCAACCTGGTCCTAAGACGCTGGTATTGGGCTCGTGCTACTTGATGTTGCGACAGGATGCCTGATTCTTCACTTCAGTGACGAGTTCGCCGGCTACCCCTGGAGCGTAACCCGCACGGGGTACAGCGGAGAGAAGGTGAGCTAAGGGGTGGCTGAGGGCTTGGCGGAAGCCTTGTTTAGTGATATGGGCGGTGTGTCGGTTTTGCGGGTATCCTTTTTTGGGTTGGTCAGGCAAATCAAAAGGGAACCGTGCCCATTTTGGCAGCTCCCCTATTAGACAAACCCATGTTACATCGTCTATGTGATCAATCTTCCTTTGGTTCGAAGGGGTAATTAGGGTTGGTGGGTTGAGCCAATTTTGCCCGCGCTTTTTTGAGGAGGTCGGTTGCTGGACCTAGTACTAAGCTCAAAATGAGATAGGTTGATGACCTTTCACCCACCTTTTTGACTGGCAATAGTGTTAGTGGCAGAAAAAGCAAGAGACGATACCCCCAGATGCCAGGAAGACACAATTGGTTCAAGTAGTCTTGGTTCTTGTGAGCTGCATCCTGTGCTGTTGAGGAGCTACACAAGGCAATGGTTGCTAACCCCAAGTCAAGTTGGTGTTTGTTTTCACTTGGCCCAACCAGATGGGCGCTCAAAATTAAACCGGAGGGGCAAACCGCAGGTTTTGGTCCATGTTTCCACTCGCCAGGTCAAGCCATTTTCGATTACCGGTTTTTGAGCCACAGCCAGATGAGTTCTACCAGACCAATTCCCTGAAAACTCGCAGGTGGCGCTGGCGGCGAGCGGAGCCGGCGGAGCATCGCACCCCTTGGCGCTGCACGGATGGCTCACCCGGGTCATGGGGGAGAAGCTAGCAGAGGCGCCAGGTTGTGTGTGTGTGTTAGTTTGTTTGTTAGTTTGTTTGTTTGTTTGTTTGATTGATTGATTGTTTGTTTGTTTGTTTGTTACTGTGTGTTATTTTTTTTTCCGTTTTTTGTTTGTTTGTTTGTTTGTTTGTTTGTTTGTTTGTTTGTTTGTTACTGTTTGTTACTGTTTGTTGCTGTTTGTTTGTTTGTTTGTTTGTTTGTTTGTTTCTTTGTTTGCTTGCTTGTTTGCTTGTTTGTGTTTGCTTGCTTGGTTGCTTTGGTTGCTTTGGTTGCTTTGGTTGGCTGGCTGGTTGGTTGGTTGGTTGGTTGATTGGTTGGTGAGTTAATTGGTTGCTTGGTTGCTTGCTTGCTTGCTTGCTTGCTTGCTTGCTTGCTTGCTTGCTTGCTTGCTTGCTTGCTTGCTTGCTTGTTTGTGCGTTTATGCGTTGTGAGGTTGTTTGTTTGTTTGCGTGTGTGGCTATCTGTCTGTTTGTCTGTCTGCCTGCCTGCCTGTCTGTCTGTCTGTTTGTTTGCTTGCTTGTTTGTTTTTATGTGTTTATGTGTGTATGTGTTTGCAGGTTGGTTGATTGATGTATTGTCTGTTAGTCTGCTTGCTTGCCTGCCTGCCTGTTTGCTTGCTTGCTTGCTCGCTTGCTTCCTTGCTCGCAGGTTTGCTTCATTGGTTTGTTGGTTGGTTGTGTGTTTGTGTAATTGTGTGTGTTCGTTCTTTGTTTGTTTTCTTTGTTTGTTTGCTTTGTTTGTTTGTTTTGTTTGTTTGTTCATGTGTTTCTTTGTTTGTTTGTGTGCCTGTGTGCCTGTTTGTTCATGCGTTTGTTTGTTTGCTTGTTTGTGTGCCTGTGTGCCTGTGTGCTTGTTTGTTCATGCGTTTGTTTGTTTGCTTGTTTGCTTGTTTGTGTGCCTGTGTGCCTGTGTGCTTGTTTGTTCATGCGTTTGTTTGTTTGCTTGTTTGTATGCCTGTGTGCTTGTGTGTTTATGTGTTTGCTTGCTTGGTTGCTTTGTTTGTTTGGTTGGTTGGTTGCCTGTTTCTTTGCGTGGTTGTTTGTGTTTTGATTGGTTTGGTTTGTTGTGGTTGGTGTAGTGTGTGTTTTGCTTGGTTGTTGTTTGTGTTGCAGCCGTTCGGTTTGCGTAATCTGTTTGTTAGTTAGTTGGCGTGTTTGCTTGTTTGCTTATTTGTTGTTTGCCTTTTCGCGTGTTGCGTGTTTGGTCCTTTTGCTTGTTTGCTCCTGCATGCTCCTGCTTTGCTCTTGTTTGCTCCTGCTTGCTCTTGCTTGCTTTCTGGGCTGGGCTGGGCTGGGCTGGGCTGGGCTGGGCTGGGCTGGGCTAGCTAGCTAGCTTGCTTGCTGGCTTGCTTCCTTGTGTTCTTGTGTTTGTGTTTGTGCTTGTGCTTGTGTTTGTGTTTTTTTTGTGTGTGTGTTTTGCCGTTTCTTTGTTTCCGTGTTAGTCTCATTGCTTTCGCACTTCTTTGTGTTCGTGCTTCGAAGGTGGACATCAGGCTTGGGCATCATCTGTTCCACTGTTCAACCCAGAGATAGGCGAGAATGGTTTCGACATGTTCAATGAAGAGGTTGGTCCAATCCCTGGGCTACAGCAAGCACAACGCTACACCTTCTCGGGGATGTGTCAACAAAAGCTGGAACATGTTCAGCATAGAAGGCGCTGGGCTTGTGACCCTTCGGCAACAGAGCCAACCACCGGGACCACATCCAAGTCCTGAGGATCACAATCCCAGGCGCCCAGAAAAGTTGGACATGAGGTCTGTTGGACACCAGGTTGCGCGGGGGATAGTCCCAACCCAATTGTGGTTTTGGGGCATCTTCCATGAATTTCTGGTGTTTTAGAGACCTATGAGAATGATATGTTTTTGGCTGCCTTCATTCATACAAATCCAATCAGGACTTCGGGCCGTTTTCTTTAGGACGACCTCCGAGCCTCTCAGGCAGCGGGCACGTCGCTGGACGCCTGGGTAGCGAGCGCCCAGCGCCCAGACTTTCGGCCCTCCAAGGCCGGCGCTTGGTGCGTTCCAACTGCAAAAGAGGGGCGCCCCCCAAAAAAAATGGGCTCCAACTGGACTCCAACGCGTTGTTTCCTTTCCTTTTTTCTCATTTTGTTTTTTTAATGGGGTAAAAGTGGGCTTGCCACTCTCGCCCCTCCCTCCCCTGCCTTCCCCTCCCTCCTCCTCAGCGTACCCAAGAAGTTTCCTGCCTTGTGGAGGTGGCCAAGGAGAAACCGCGTCTGGGTATATATGTATGTATGTGCCCGTGAAGTACTCATAGGGGATCCGACTTTCCAGAGAAAGGAGTTTTTTTTTTTTTTTTTCGCAACCACGTAGATTTTTGTCTCTCCCTCCAGTTTCCATTTATACAAACCACCTCAAAACAACCTTTCCCACTCCAACAAAAGCATTCCCTTGGGGGCTTCTTAACACCCCCGCCCCCCTTCCCCCACAACAAGAACAAGAAACCGAAAAGGAGAGGGGCCTTTGCCCACTCCCCAAACCTGACGCGTCACGAATGGTCCAGGTGGGCTGCGTGTCCCACAGCGCGGAGTACGCGGTGCGCTTCTTCCAGGGCCGCAACGTGCTGGGCGCTCTGCCGGGGCTCAGCGAGAAGCATCGCCACGAGGCCGTCGTCATCGCAGGCGGCGCCAGCGGGGGGGGGGGGGTGAGACCTCCAGTCCAGCACGCCCCCAACAGCTGCTTTTTTTGAACAGTGCTTAGATTTTGAGATTTTGGACATGGCTGTGGGTCAAAAATGGGCACCCAAAATAGAACCCTGGCAAATGGAACCAAGGACTAAGATCTGCGGCCTTCTGGTATTCTGGTGGTTTACTTTTGACCCACACCCACATGGGAAGAAGCAGTAGTTTGGGGGATGCTGGGTGGTGCGTTTTTTGTTTTTTTTTCTTGAGGAGGTTTGCTTGAAATCGATATGTTTTGTTGGAGGCGAGGATTGCAACCCAGTTGTTCAGTGGGCTCCCCACGAAAAGCGGTCAGCGTCACAAAGGGTTCCCTTTTATTTAGCACCTTTGCAGGATATGTACCAGAGGAGGGTTGTAATCAGAGGAACATCCCCCCACAGAATGTTGAGCTTTCAAGAAGGTGTTGGTTCCGTTGATGCGTCCGGTTTTATCATATCCAAATAAACATCACAGGATTCCCTATGTCCTCAGTGCATGGAGACCTCACACAATGCCAGCATGCGACTCATTGAACTCATGCGTAACGCATTTTGCCGACTCCTTGGCTCCTGTTCCACTTGGATTTACCGATGAGGACCGGCCGCTTGACTTTGCTCTCATTGTTTGCACTCGGATCCCCAACCCCAGCTGCCCAACGGCTGTTTGGGTGCTTGAAAGTCCACCAACCAAAGATCGGTGCCACTCTGATTTTCCCCCATCGCTCACGACGCAGGGCACCACGACCATTTGGGCGAGCGCGAGGGTGAGATCTACAACGGTGCTGTGGACAACTGCACGGGGGTGGCCATGATGCTGGCGACGGCGCGCCTGTTGCTGGAGTCGGGTGAGGCTCTGGACGCGTGACAAGCAAGCAAAAGTGAAATGGATGTCACGGCCTTTTTTGGGGGGGGGGGACTCGGGAGTTTTCTTACCCCTCAAAGACGGGGCCTCCCCGTTCTTTGGGGTAACCCATTTTGGGAGGGTCGTGGAGACTCCAGGTCTAATGTCAACATTTTGAGAGGCCCTCAACAATACTGTTGGCCTTCGATTTCCTTTGAAACACCAATCAGAGGGTAATTTTGGAGGATGTCACTTCACAAACCCAGTTTGTTGAGGATACCCAATTTTCGGTTGTTTTAACGCGGGACCATTATGCATTTGGGAGGTTCCCCAATTTTCGACGCAAGCCATTGCCCGACTTGCCTTGCTGTTTTTTTCGTTCCTTGTCAGCCAGCAAGCAAAGGCATCCTGTTGAGGGTCAAAAGTGGGGCGACCCCTTTTCGGACACGTGTTTCCAAAAGGAAGCTAATAGGGCCGGGATTTTGTTTGACTCTTTTTCAGAGCCCTGGTTTGTCACCAAGGAGTTAATGCACTTGGACTAAAAGCCATGGCACGTGGATGCATTCTGACCCTTCAAGTAGTTACCTCCCTTGTTTTTCCGTGCCCATAATTTCAGAGGAGAAAACACCAAAACCAGACCCACCCTGGATGGCCCCTTCTTGCAGTTCAAGCGGGGGCACCGGTTCCGGTTCGTTCTCGGCATGCATCGCGTTGGCTTTGGTTCCCTGACTTCTGGATTGTAAGTCAGTTCTGCGGAAAATCACCAGGGTTACGCCGGGGGGAAAGTAGATGGCACGATTCCCTTTTGTGGGTAAAGGAGTTGAAGCCAACTGGAATTTTGCCATGTACTCAACTGTACAATTAGGAACGTCCCACAATATCCGCTAGAATCTGAGGAAAGACCCCGGGCTTTGCTATGAAAATCCAGCAAAGCCATGGGCAGTCCAGATTTTTATTTTATTTTTCTCTCTGCAACCAGTTAAATGGTGCCTTTGTTTCAGATATTCTGTTGATGTACAGGGGTTTGCGAGTGTCCGTTCTCGGGACTTCAAGACCAGTGAATTTCAATTGGGAACCAGCTCCAAAGTGGTTGGTGGACATGCCCCCCAACCTAAAATGATATCCACCCAGGCCTCCATGAACATTCATGCCCCTATGGCCGTGGGTCAAAATCCCGTACCCCCAGTGAACATCCCAATCCCAACTAAAATAGGTTCTAAAATGGGTGGTTCCTACCCCAAGATGGCACCATTGGTGTTGACCCACAGCCATAGCTCTCCTTCAAACATCACTTAACCCCCAAGCCCTGCGCGTGACACGGAAATTTGGGCCCGTGCCTTTCTAGTCTTTGAGGACCGCTCGGTCATCTTCATGGCGCCCACGGCGGAGGAGTGCGGATTGCTGGGCTCCGAGTTCTATGCCAAGGTGCGCAGTGCGCATGGCTGTGGTTGTCAAAACCGTTTTGGGATCCCATTTTGGTTGGGATTGGTGAATTCACCACCCATTTTAGAACCTATTTTAGTGGTTGGATTGTGATGTTCGCTGGGGGCTAACCGGGCTTTTGACCCATAGCCACAGTTTGTTGCTGATGGAAAACTTGCTGGTGCGATAAGTATGCTGATGGAAACTGACGCTTGGTGATCCCGGCAAGGGCGGTTCTTCTTTGGTCGCGGAGCACCCTTGGAGAGTCACGAGGGGTTCTGAGGTTCATTTGAGGGGTCAAGAGCTGTTGGCCAGGGCTACACAAATGTGATAAGGGATTTGTTTCTCTTGAAAGTGACAAAGTGACAAAGTAGTCAGAAGGATTAGTCGTAAGGATGAGCATCAACTATATACTTGCCCACAATCATGACCTGAATCCTTTCAGGAGAACCCTGGTTTGGGCCCCTTCCAAATCCAAGCTTTTGAGCATTTTACTCACTGTGGGGAAGAGGACCCTGAAAAAGGTGCCAAAAGGAGGCCCACTGGGCCAAGACACAAATAGAAGGAGCCCTGTTACCAAATTCTTCTTGCGTTTTCCGAACAGGACAACAATGCCAGAACCTTCAAGAGGTTACTTCTGGAGGGTTCCCGTGTTCCTCTCAAGTCTAGAGGCTGATTCCCCATTCTTTTGAACCGTAGTTCTTTTCAAGAAACGATTGCCGTTTTCGCTGGGTTTCAAAGGAGGTTTTCTAGAAAGAATCGGATCCCTGGAAAGAATGGGGAAGGTATCCCTAGAATCATATTCCCTTTAACCTCACCACCAAAAAACCCTCAGCTCAAAAGTTGCCCCAAGGGGGACTTTCAAACCACCCAACTAGGATCCAAGAAGGTGGCCTTAGATTCGGGCGGCGCCCCCAAAAGGCGCCGACGCCCATCGAGCCCAACGGGCCGAAGCCGCAGTTCCTGGCGGCCTTCGCCTTCGACGTGGGCAACGTCTGGGGCAAGACGCGGGATCTGCCGCTCGTTGTTTGCTCTCTTTTTTTTGCGAGCACCGAGCGGGTCGCTTGTAGGTTTCCTAGGTCCATAGGTGGCCAAACTTAGAACTCTGTTGTATGTTAGGGGTTTTTGGTGTGCGGCCCGGGAAGTGGTTGTTTTCTTCATAGGGATCCATCACTGATTTTCGGTTGCTGAATTATAAGAATTTGCCCAGGATGGTGGAAACGGGGGTTGTGGGGTCACTTTCTCTGACAAGGGAACTCCCTTCAGTTGGGGCCTAAATTGCCCATGTTTCTCAAGGGGAACCAAAAGGGACAGGAGCATTGCCGAATTTTGGCTTGTCAAAGGAAACGAAAGGGACACGACCCTCTTTGAGGTTCCTCTACTCCCGTTACAGTCTGGACGAAGCAGGGCTCCCTGTTGTGAATCCTGGCATCTCATGGGGCGTTTATGAACGCTTGTGTGCGATTTGTTTGATGTTCGTTGGTTCTCTCCAACAAGCACAAGCTTTGCAAGCATCTTTTGAAACACCGTCTTGCATTTGGAGTTTGCTTGTGGGAGACTATTACCTAGCAGAAGCCAGACACGGATAGATGCACAAGAACAATCGTGCATAGATAAACCGTCATTCATGGCAGCTAGAGGCAACATGTGAACATGCGCCTGGTGAAGAATGCGCACACCTCCCCCCCAACACAAGAATGCGAGCTGGATGATTTCCGGTTTCGTTTTTAAACCATCCCAACACACAAATGCAAACTGAAGGGTTTCTGGTTTCGCTCTAAACCAACGGCAAAATAAAGATCACGGCAAGGAAAGCACATCGCCACATCGCCACACACGTTGCATATGGCTGGACGAGCCGAGGTCGGTGCTGGGCTTCGGCAAGAGCACGCTGGATCCCATCTTGCAGGAGGCCGCCGCGTCGCTGGAGATGCGCAGCGCCGTTGCAAGTGGTTCAACACATCCATGGCCCGTAGGAGAGTTTCCCTAGGGATGCAGTGGAAATATAGGAAGCCCTGAAACCAATCTTGGGTTTCACACTTGCATATGTGCCATAACTTTTTGGGGTTAGATGATCGTCAGCCTCTTACTGGTTTAGACAATGAAATCATGACCACGACCCATAGACTGCAAACTCGCACCTCATATCAGCGCGCATATTTGAAGGGTTTGACTGGCTTCAATGGGAACCAACAGCGCTTAAAAACACATGTCGAACGTTCCTTGACAATCAAATGTCCAGACTCAGCCTGTCATGACCCTTGAAACACGGGGCCATGACCTCCTTTCTTTGTCCAGGAACTCTCCTTTTGAGTTTCCTTCATTTTCCCCCTTAGGCGGCCCGGATCCATTTGGCGATTCTGAGGTATCATTCCAGACCAGCAACCCAAGATGGGGCTTTTCTACCGGAGCGACCACTGGAGCTTTGTGCGCTGCGGAGTGCCTGGCTGCTGGTTCTTCTTCGGAAAAGAGTTTGTGGACAAGCCGCCGGGATACTTCGAGCAGGTGGTGGGCAAGTATATCCAATCGGAACCTGCGCCGAATTACAAGCCTGGTTCATACCTGCGACTTTTGGAGGGTACTTGTTTTTGCCGTTTGGCGAAATTGAAAGGCATATGTTTCTGCCGTTTCGCGAACAAGCGCGGTTTACCTAAAAGACTGCCGTTTCACAAAATGCCCCTTCGAAGCCAGTCCAACGGTCGTGCAAAGTTGAGTTGCCGCTTGGACGGGTCAAGTTGCCGTTTCGATTTGGCAAGCGACCACCTGCAATGCTCAACTTGCAAACGTGTCGTTTCGCAAAACAAGCACTTCTCGATACATTTGTTTAACTAAACAGCATAAGTAATTTACCTGCCGGGAAGCCACTGGTATTTTAGGCGAACCGATCTGAGGGTAACACGTGCGAAAGCCGTGATTAGGTAATTTACTTGAGGATCCCTTATTTGAAACCTTGGAACTATGCCACCTGCTTACGGATTTGGATCCTTGAAGTCAACTGGATGTGGGCCACCCTGTGATGCATCCTTTACACTCGAGCATGTCCGAACCCCAAGGAACCCCATAAGTGATGTTCAAGTAGGATTGCAACAGGACTGGTATTGCAGGTTTTACTTCCCACAAACATCAAGGCCTCAGTTCCGAGTTTCCAAGTTCAGTGTCGGATTCGATTGGTTGGTTTGGGAATTCAGGAACAGCCCGGACAGGGCAGGCCCTTTGCTCGCGGAAACCTGGGTCAGCTTCGAATGGACTCAGGATTCGGAAGTCAAAGCCTGGGACCCGGGCAGACCTACCCATGTAGAGCAAGAAACTCAATATCCAGAAGTGGCGATGTGTCCCTAACCGGAAGTAGTGGTGATGGTGTGGAACGCAGAGCTGAAGTCTTGATTTCGAGGGGCATATATCAAGACTTGTTAAAGATCGACCCACAACCACATGCCTCATTTAGCCATGCCGAACCAATTCAGGAGGAACGCAGAAGGGAATACGAGAAGGAAAATGAAATGGAGAGAAGCCAGGGTGCAAGACAAGCCATCGGAAGAGAAGAGAGGGAAGAGAGGGAAGGGAGGGAGGGAGGGAGGGAGGGAGCGTTGTAGGATTGGATGACGCCAGGAACAATACGCCCAATCTGAATGCAGCTTAGTGTACTGCCGAAACAAATACGTCAAGCCTGTTTAAACCCTGAAGCAGCATGGGACCAGCATGAAACCACCATCATTCTTGAAACCAACATCGCGCCGCCATTTTACCATTTGCTTTGTGGGCCCTTGATTCTGAACCCATTTCGGGGGCCTAGGAGTACCACAAGCCTGCCGACACCTACCGCCCGGAGTGGACCATGGAGGGCCTCAAGTCGCAGGCTGCCCTTTGGTGTCATGCTTGATTCAACCGCTGTTTACACTTTTTTTAGTCGAAGAGGGAGGCTACCTCTAAAGAAATGGCGAGCCACCTGTTGGTTTGGTCTTGTTGTTCCTAGTGTTACATGCAACGTTGCTTGTGTCCTCTCAGCCTGAGATGCAAGCAACACGCCGGGTTTTCGCATTGTGTTCCCTCTCCCATTTGCATAGCACCAGACATGGCGTCCCTAAAAAAAACAAACAAACAATCTTCCAGGTACCCTCCCAGCGGTGCCATGTTAGTGGAAGGGAAGGTACCCTCAAAAAGAAGACTCACTTGCCGCGTTCATGGTCTTTACGTACTTTTGGGTTTGGCCCATTTTAGGGGCATGCAACAAGCTTGTTTGTACTTTTCGTTTGGGCCATGCACATCCACTCCTTTGGAAATGCGAGCAAAAAAACCTGAGCAACACAGCCACCGTTTTCTTCTTTCTGGCAACAAAGACCTGGGCAACTTTGGTGCATTTAGCTTGGATGTTAGGACTTTAACTTTTTGCCAACCAGTTAAACCACTAAAAGTTAGACTTTTCGCAGGGGAGCAGAAAGCAACCGAGGCAACCCAGCCACGGGTTTCGGATTTTTGCTCCGGACAGGTGGACTACACGGTGGAGGTCGTGCGGCTCCTCTCCCGGCGCCTGGCGCTCTATCCCAAGCTGCTGCCCGAGAGCGCCCAGATCCAACCGCCGCCGCCGGTGCCGGCGCCTGGGCGCCTACAGGGGGGTGCTTCCATTGGCTGAATCGGTTATTATTATTTTTTCCCCTGTTGGTTTCAATTGGAATGGATTTCACTCATGGACATGTTTGTTTTGTTTTTTTTCCAGGGGTCTTAACCAAATGGAAGTACAGGGGGGGGTGGGTTTGGTCCTGTTTGCCGGTGGCAACCAGTGGATTCCAACTCCTTTTTTATTTCCGGCCTTTTTTGGGGAAGGGCGCCGATCCGTTTTTCTTCCCCCATGGACATCGACTGGGCACATGAGTTTTGGCTTTCTCAAAGCGGAGGACATGGAGAAAACATGTTGGGTTCCAAGAAGCATGTGGAGCCACGATTTTGTTGGGATTTGAGTTCCCACCTGTTGTGCTAAGGGAATTCCCTTGTGACAGATGGGGATGTTCGTCGGGTTTTTGCGGCGCACTTGTTGTGATATGGGAATTCCCTTGTGACAAAGTAGTCATAAGTTATACGGATGGTCCACATTGGAGTCACAAAAAAATGTTTTTCCGCAACCATGTCTTGCGGCATGTCGAGGTGAACTGTTTTTGAGGGGGAGCCGTTTTTGGGGGTGGTCCCAAAGGCAAATTGTAGGTGCCTGGGCAAGTTTAAAGGACTCTCCTTTTCTTGGTGGCTTTGGGGGCAAACTGGTTTTCCTGGTTGCTCCTTCGTGTGGAACCCAAATTTTCCGGTCCGTTCAAAGGCAAAATGCCGGCGCCTCAGACTGGCGCAGCTTCAGGACATGCCAGATGGCCAGTCCTGGAGGAGGCGACCAAAGAAGTCGCTGGGGTTCGGCCTGAGATGCTTCGACTGCAAAGTTGAAGGATGTGCATGCTTTCTGTGAGAGATGGCACGGCGGCAAAACGTGGGCGAAGAAAGCAACAGATGATGCGCGTCGGGGTTGGTTTGTTGGTGGCGGTACAGCTGCGGACTATTCTTCCTGCCCTGCCCCCCCCCCCCCCCGTGGGCACCCCTTCATGTCCCAACCTGATGTCAAGCAGAGAGAAAGGAATCCCGTGAACAAGCCACTCAGATCCATAAGAGCGGGTTGTTGAACACCAATCCAGGGTGGGGCGGTTTTCCTTGTGCGGGTGTTCCCCCAGTCTTTTCGAATCTTTGTGAGGGAACGCGGCATCTGCCTGTCTGGGGTTGGGGCATGGGGGTTTGAAAAAAGAGTTCAATAAAGAGCGAATGACGCTGGTGGTACAGGCCAATCCAGTGGTGCATCGTTATTGGTCACCCGCTGTCCCATGTGAAACATGTCGCTGGTTCATTGGGGTTGTTGGCTTTCTCACTTGCCCAAGTCCACCATTTGATCTGTTGGTAACCTTGTGTTGATCCACTAAAAGTCATGCACCATTCAGTTCCAGCTGGTTTGGGCATGGTTGGGCATATGTTTGGTTGCGTGACACGCATCGACGACCATGCATAGTAGGCTTCAGCAGAAAGCCTGGATATGTTTTGTGCAACACTTCACCTGAAGTGGTTGAGCTAAGGGCTTACTTTGACCAGGGATCTTTTGCATGGCCCTGTTCATCTCCTGTACCCAAGGTCAATTGCAACAGACGCCGGGATGTAAGCTAGTTGAGACACATTGCAGGTAAACGGACGTTGACCAGAAGTTTGCCACAAAAAGGGCAAGCCCAAAGGTCAAAAGGTCGATTCGCTTTTGGTCAAGTGCATTCTTCAACAAGTTCCGAGCTTGGACTCCACGCACATGTTCAACACGCCCCCGCGGCTTGAAAGAAAGACGTGGCGCCCCGTTTTGTCCACTTTCTTTGGAAGGGTGCCGATTCCTTTAAACCAACCAAAAAATCGGACGCCCTTTTTCTCTTTCTATGGAAATCCACCGGGCATCTGAGTAAAGGTTCCAAAAATGAAAGTTCTTTGGGCTGAGCGAATTCTCGTAGCTCAGCCATGCCAGGGTGCTGTGGGAGCCGGTGGAAGCCTCCGACCTGCCCCTCAAGGCGCGGCCAGCGGCCCCTTGGGCGCTCCATGGCACCCTAAACCCCTGGTTTCCCATCCCCTCCGTTGCGGCATCCAGTGAAACACAACTCATGCAGAACATGAAAGAACTCGTCAAAGACTCCAACGGACTCCGAGATCACGAAAAGGCACAGCTCCGAAAAAGACTCTGGCGAAATGGCTGTGGGTCAAAACCAATGGTACCATTTTGGGGTAGGTGCACCACCCGTTTTAGTCTATTTTAGTGGGGATTGGGATGTTCACTTGGGGGTACAGGATTTTGACCCATGGCCATAGCACGAAGCTTCTCGATTTGCAATCGTCGTCCTTGCACTGGGGCCACACGCTGGAGAGCGAGCCGTAGCTGCAGCCCCGCTCAGTCTGAAGTTCTGCGGAATGCTTAGTCACATTTATCGAGGTGTTACCCACAAACAAGGGTTGAAGAACTTGCCTGGCTGCGAAGCTCCCCTTTTCTTGGTGGCTCCCAGTCATGCCCTTAGCTTTTTAGCTTCTTATTTTCGTGGGGGTTTCCATTGAACCTACTACAGGTTCTAGCGGGGGATCTGAGGACAGCCCAGTTTTTGCAGTCTCTGCCAAATGGTAAGCTTTGCCACTTTCGAGCAGCTTCGTTTTTTGGCAGTGATCAGTTTTACGCAACAGGCAGATTCGGCGCGCAGGTTGCTTTTGAGTGCGCAGCGCACGCAGACACTCGGGTTCCCACTCCTGGCCAAGCCAAATTCCGGGTGTCCTCCATTTCCCCTGTTGGAAGCTCCACAAGTGCCAGTTGCAGTGGCCACCTCCAGTAAAATTAGTCGAGCGGCTTTTCGGGGAATCCCAGAAAGGCTACAAAAAATGGTCTCCCATCAGAGCCACTCGTCTTCCGAGCGACTTTGGCGCCGCGCTTGGCTTCCGCGCTCGGGAAGCAAGGGAGTCCTAAAGTTTGGCAAGGCCCAAAGGGGTCAACGGAACTTTGTCGAGTATCACATCCTGTCAGACTCAATAGCTTAGCACCTGGGGTGTGTATTCAAGTTCGAACATGTGATAAGATATGTTAAGCTTGGAACGTCTAGCTGTGATAGCCAACAGTCAAGATGCGCAGCCAAGGTCTTTGGACGACATTGCTTTAAGAGTGAAATCCATCCACAGGGAGTTGTGTTGAATCAGCCTGTTATCAGCATCCACGTTCTACGATGACCACTTATGTTGGCGCTGCCTTTGGCAAAATCACGAATGATCGATTCATTGGTATGGGTCTTTTGTAAGCATGAAGATACCTGGGCAAACTACACTAATTCCCAGCCGGAACAGGAACCTCCGGTTGCAGAACCTTCATCAGAGCTCGTGTTGCCCCAGATAAGTTCCGTGCAATTTGCACAGACGTGGCTAGGTAAGGCATTCGGCACCAGACCACCAACTGGGGTATCACAGGTTTTCCCACAATATTGGTGTTGCGTCAGATTGCCCTCAACATGTTTGTTTTTGTTTTCCTTTTCCTATCCCTACCCCCATCCACAGGGGTCCCTGTGCAACATGCCCTTGTCTACTTGGCATCCTGCAGATCAGCCTGTTGCTTTGCCCTGTAGGAAACACCCGAAACTTGGGGCAGCCGCCTAACCTGTCGTTGCAGGTGGTTCGCCATAGCTACTACATTGTAGCCTCCTGGACCGCCTACCAGCGCGGGGCCCCGCTACTCCGAAGGCGACATCTCCAAGCCTCCTCCGATATGGATGTGTCTCCCTTTTTGGGGTGGTTTTAAATGGAAAGAAAAAGAAACATCATGGGTTTGGGGGGTCCTTCGCCGAAAGTGCTTGATGGCGCAGCGTGCTGCTCACGGGCAGACTGGATATAGGCGCAGACTGATTGTAGGCCAACGACTGAGGCTTGATTCCGGTTTGCATTATTTGAATAATCCCTGCTCTACTTGGATTTCTATTTGCTGTATACCTCTTTTTGTTGTAAGGCTAGGCTATCCTAACCCAGCCCACCCGCACCCGTATCCCTACCAGGACAAAATGTGCCAGGTCAAACGACTTGGGCCCTTGAAAGGGGTTTTGGAGAAACGGTAAGACTTAATGATTTCAGACAGTGGCTGGTACAAGGGGTTGTAGTCCCTTGAAAGGCTTTAGACCCTCCGGGTTGTAGCCCCTTGAAAGGGTTTAGACCCTCTTCTGGGCATGCAATCCAAAGGAGTGTTGGCCAATGCTCCAAGTCGGCCGATCGAGGCCCTTTGAGATGGTGCCCATTCGAAAGGGCGAGCTCTACGAAGCGACAGTGAGGACCGCGAGGTTCTGGTCCTTGGATCCGCCGTTGGGTCCTTTGGTTTGAGAAGCTGACTACACGACTCTCCATGACCCTTAGACAAATGGGGTCATTGCCCAAAAGAAAGGGGTCAAATGGGCCAATTCTTTTTCTAGGGGTCATGGAGACTCTAGGTACACACTGGGGAGTTTGGTTGGGTTTTGACAAAAAACCCAATGATGACAGATTGGTTTGAAGCGGAAACCAAAGCAAACTCTTGGCTGTCCCACTTGTGCCTGTGACCTAAAATTGTGGTTTTCGGTTCGGCGCCGAAATGCCTTCCTGCAGGATAGGCATCACGGACGCTGAGGAGTTTCAGTTCATGCGGGATGCCGACGTGCTGCAGGTGGCGTTGTAGGAAGCGGGGATTCGCCCTTCTACTCCGCAAATCAACGGAAGGAACCAAAATGCCGCTGGCTTCAGCTTTGTCTGAACCATTCACCAGTGCTGTCGGAGCCAAACGAAAAAAAAAATGAGACTACGGGAAGGAACAAACCGGGGCTTCCCATTAATCTGCTGGCAGTAGTCATGGATGAGATCATTGCAAGAACCACCTAGACTCTCCATGACCCTTAGACAAATGGGGTCATTGCCCAAAAGAAAGGGGTCAAATGGGTCCTTTTTCTAGGGGTCGTGGAGACTAGGCAGTTGATTGCATCCATTGCGACTGGAGGATTTTTCGTCCACATCGCACGTTGCTAATATCGAATGTTCTGAGGCCGCATCGTGGGGACTGGCGGGAGGGTTGGTCAGGGGAGAAAACAGAGCACGACGGTGTGTTTTTTTGTCTTCTTCTTTTTCGTGGCGGTTGGGGTGGGGATAGAAAAGCTGATGGTAGCAACCTTCCAAAGTTGCAAGGTTGACTGTCATGCAGCATGGATTGCAAACATGTTTCTTCCGACACTCGTTGCTGCTGATGTTTGAATGGTCGCAGCCCTAAATATTGCAGGTCTACAAGGAAGAGAACACCCTGATTTGGCATTGTTCATGCGCGGTCTACTTGCTTCAATTTGAGGGAATAGACCATAGCCCAATCCCTGATGGCTGCTGCAATTCGTCATCTCACGTCCGAAGATGCAGATCCAGATACTTGTAGCCACTAGTCATCCAGTAGCTCGTCACTTCGCCAAAAAGTACTCGCTTGCAGAGTAGAAGCACTCGCCGAAAGCACACCTAAAGCAAATTTCCGGAACGTATTGTCTACCAGGGACATAATTACAACCCCATGCCCAATGGCATCAGTCGGAACCAGCCCCTTCGAATAGCTGGTAGGTTCATGACAGCTTGTCAAACGAAATAACAATATGTCGACATTATTGTGCAAGAACCAAAAAGCCACAGCAGGACGCATATGCTGGTTTACTACGCACAAAGCACGGACTGTCGGTGCTCTTCAGTACCTTGTGACCTCTGTCTTCCACATGTTTTGTCTTTGCATTTGCTGTTTGTTTTTTATTTGTCCCCCGTGCTGGTGTTAAAGAGAATCTGTGACTACTGAAGATGTGTCTTTATTTTCCCTTGAGCGCTGTAAAGGGAATCGATTTGACTAGTAGAAATATGTTTATTCTTCCAAGGGGCGAA